GAAAAAATCGCCGGTAATCAGTGATAAAAGGTTATTAAAGACTTTGCGATTTCAGCTAGCTTCGTGGCCTATCCAAGCGACAAAGGCTAACTGTTGCCCTAACAATGATGCAATTATTAATAACTTTAAGCCTTGTAGTTAAAGGCAGTGCAACAGTAACGGGCGAAGTCGTAGGTGTCTCGTTCGTTCTTTTGAGTTCTAATATGGGGAAACGTAGTTCGTCATAATAGGTTCACTGCATAAGAGCCGAGTATATAATCACTTTAGATACATGTATGTATATCATATGTTTTCTGTCCTACCACTTTAACGAAAGCACCCTATCCTCGGAGTAGAGGCTTGAGTCCATTGCAATACATTACTGTTACCGCAGAAATTATACCGGCAAATTTTGCCAAACGCAGCATATGAAACAGTACGTCCACTGATAGTTGAATAGCAAATAAGACTATTATTTACTCTTCGTGTACATGGATTTACTGTTATAACAACGCCTTTAAAAAGAAAAAAAAACCAACCGAAAATCCTTGCGCTGGTCACTGCATCGTTGAGCATAGTTCATAAATCCCCATATCAGACAGGTTTTTTTTTATGTTAACACCTTTTTCTTTGAAGTACACGAAGAAGTCTTTCAATCGGCTTACATAAATTCATGACTAACAAAACAACATTGTTTGACTCTGATGAATACCAAATGAACGGTTTAGGTGTCAAAGTTGGCCATTTCAGGGAACTTTATGAAACCAAATTATGCTGGCGTGTGCCAATGGGTCCCTTGCACCGCGGTCTTCAGCAGAATACTATTACACATTACTACCAAAGTAATTTCCTATTCCATTCAGCGACGACTACTTTGTATCAAAACCTCTCAGACACTGGATGATCTTAGATAATCACTGAAGCTAGCAAGAAGCCTGCCTGCCTGCCTGCAGGACTGCTTACTGCGTGGGAACAAGTCAGTAAACGTTGGGTGCGTTCAGTGACATCGTGTATCAGTCGGTCTAACTTTATCAGCTAATTAGAGAGTAACTTGCCAGGTCAAACGGGTGAACATAGTTATCTTGACCGCGTTAAACAGGCTTTTAGCATAAAATTTGAATAGATCGTGACCGCGTGATGGCTCCAAATATTGTTTTTGGTTGGCTGGATAGGTGGAAAACGAACTGTTAGTATATGACGGGATGCCGCTTGATTGTTTCTGCTGTGATTTTCCTTGGAAATATGGACCTATGCTTCTTCGGAAGGTTATTTTTGCTTGCTGCATCAGGGTAGCAACGGGCAATTTTTTTGGCTTTACGACCTAGAATTGGGCTCGGCTTTATATTGCTGGCATGTGACATACTTCACAATGGCTTTCACAGCCGAACCCTCGGCCTTTACCTACATTTTTTACATATACGCCACGCCTGATTCTCTCTGTCGCCGCGTTTTGATGCGAACGTTTAGTTTTTCTTTTATGCAGACGCTGGAAGATAATAGGTATCAGAAGCAACGCTTAGCAGCGGTACCGAACGTCACAATCGTTTAGCGTATTTACCTAGGTTAGGAAACGGACATATTGTTATGTTGAACTAAGACTAGGTACAATGTGTCTACGTGTGATGTATTCACTCAGTTGATTAGATAATGTTATGATATTGATCCGAAAACCTGATTGTGTCCTGTAGAGCATCAATATGCATCTCTAGTACCTAGCACGCAACATCAGAAAATATCGAACATGTCAAAGGGTTGCCCATTAATAGGCCAAAACCAATCGTTCATAATGGCCACTCTCGCGAACACTAGTAGACCCTTGATAAAACAACAATACGGATAATTAGCCATCATGCACTTGCTTACTTAAGTTAGCACGAATTAAATACCGTGTTATTACGGTATTCGATTTTAGTCTTTGGAACCACTTCAACAAATTCTGCTATTGCTTTTAGTTAGGGTCGATCGGTCTAGTTCGGGTCGTGAGCAAATTTGAGATAATGATCAAACCGAATACTGTCTTCTGTAAAATAGCACATGGTGACACCAGATGAATCGGTCTGTCAACCTAAAATCAGCAAGAAGGTGACTGGTGCAGTCTCAGAAGAAATAGAAAGGACCTGTCCTATTCGTTTCGCCTTCTGATATTCTTTTTGCTTCAGCCAATGCTGAATTCTGTAGAGCTATATGCGCTATTGCTCTAATACTACTGTCGATACCGTTAGGTCGGCACTTCAATCAATAGAGTCATATAGGAAACATTTGCCAACTATCAATCGGATTTGCCTTCTATCAAGATAATTACGCAGTTGATCTTTGACGAATCGCAGAACCACAGAATATGCAAGCAGCTATTTCTATTCGGTTTGACTTTACGAAGATGCAGCTTCTGAGATGGACTAGAAAGACTGAGAAAAGGCCTCATGTTGTGATCATTGAACGGTTGAAACAGTCATAGAAGTACATCTTCACATGAAGTATACACTTCCATTTCATGATGGTTATCGTTATTATCGTCACGAATTGCTTCTTATGAAGTGTTCCTTTGATCAAATGTGAAGTAAACAAAATCTGCCAGTGTTCTGAAATTAAGGAACTGTCAACTAATTAATTTTCGTGGAATTTTCTCTACTCGTTCTCATTTATTATATCCTACGGTGGCTGAAGCTAGTTTTCGACCTTTTAATTTCTATTAAAAAGTTCCAAGTTCTGTGATCGCTAATGCGTTTCGAGTTCCACGCTCGATAGCGCCATTAAACATCTTCGAAAGAAGGCTATTATGTCCAAGCACGAAACGAAGAAGTTGTTCATAATTAGATTCTAACCCGGACAACCGCAGCTTTAGCAGAAAACATTCTACCCACTTCGTCCGTCATAACGGGGCGTTAGCAACGTTGACACTACCTAACCAGTAGAAACGATGGCACCGAGTTCCTTTCTACAAAAATAAACTATAATAAATCAATACAAGAAAATGAAGTAAAAATAAAAATGCACAGTTCTGGTTCACACACTTACCGGTGGTTTCGTTTTTTGGGTTTGGGGCTATATTAAAACAGGCTAACGGAGAGCTGAACAGACCATAAAATTAGCTAACAGGAGAACCCTGCGCAGAAAATCGTCAAAAGTTCGAAATAATTTGTCAGAAAATTAACTTTGAGCTGAATGCTACAGCAGCAAGCATAGCAGTACGTTAGAACTTCACTTCTATCCATCGTAAGTGACCTCTTATGGTACCTGTATGCACATGCACATACACATACACATTTTCCTTAAAGCTTCCCTCGTAATGATTAAATGTTATGTTCCTTTGCATGAAACCCCGTCAGTTTTCGCAAAATAGCATTCAATTTAGAGTTACAGACAGTTCGTTCAGCTACTCGAAATCAGCGCGAACAAGCACTCTATTGGTAGCGACTTGTTTACATGACGCTCACAATGGCGGATTTCTCGACATAAGGTATTACGGCCAGTGATCGCCAGTACCATATTTTCCATTGATGCGTTGGTTTTGTCCAGCGAAACAGGCTGAGTCGGAAAGATAACCTAGAACTAACGGGGTAACCCTTATCTCAAACGATTTTTGTTCACGCTATGGCCCTTCGTATGCCCAAAACGCTCTTACCGTCAGCGCATACTGTGAACATTGACAAAGCGAGGCTTTTCTAGCGTGCCAATCTACAATTACGCATGGTATCGTCCTCAAATTCTATTCTATACTGTCCTAATACGATATCGCTAGCTCCTGCGGAGCTACTTAAGGAAAACATCACAAATTGCCCCTTTGTCGTTCTTCTAGCTAGCTAGCAATGCAGCTGATAAAATACAAGATAACCAACACGAATCACTGTCATGCTCGGAGGAGTCATGGGCAGAAATAGACGTTTATGACTGTATCCGTTATGCACTTTTCTCGACTATTTTAAAAGCGAAGAAATATCATGATGCCTGCATTGATCGATGCAAATAAAAATCACCCTTTTAAGGCTATCAATTTCTGCTATCTAGAAATAAACGAATATTACCATGAGCATATCGTCTCAAAATTTGAGGCCTGAAACCTTACGGACAAAGTGATTATCAGCAAGCTATATATAGTCTTTATTTAGATTTAAAAATTGCTCTGCTGTATATATGTCTTTTGACACAAAACTACTTCAGATTTACTAATTTATAGATTAGGCGATTCGCGGTCAGTGAACGTCCTTGAAACAGGTACTTTTTCTCCGAACGTGAAACAGAATTTTATTTGTAGCATTATATTTCTGTTGAAATACTACGGTATCGATCAAGATGGTAGTGACGAACAAATGCCGAAAAAACACCGCTCACCACAAACAGGAGACCCGCTAGTTTTCTTCGGAAAACTCGGAAAGTATTTGGACGCGGAACTTCTAACAGAAGTTTACGCTCCTTCGGGAAACACCTCTACAAAGTGAGACGGAGTGGATCCCAGAAATCTCAATTTTTCTCATAGTACATTGTTATAAGAGAGCGGCGGGCTGTTTGATTCTTCGAGTGCGAACGTATGAACGTATCCACAAGTCCTTTACTCAACAATATACATCGAAAACTCAAGCGATACTATTGATTTAGGGCGCTTGTTTCTGGAATAAAGCATAAAGCCATCATAAGTGCTTGCGCCCAGAATCAATGCGCACGGACACCTCTACGGATTTCTTAGCACATACAATGTCGCTTTCAGGGGTATTTGCAGCTTATAGATTCAATAAATTCACACCGCATTGATCAACAATTTATAGACAAGGATTTTCGTTTGCATCTATAAATTTTAAAGTTATAAATTAAATTTAAAAAAGCCTTTTTTTTAATAAAATATTCCAGAACCATCAATTGAT